AGTCGACAGCGTGTTTTTCATTTTCAACGGAAGTGATTGGTCCCTGAGCCGAAACTACCACACGACAAGATTCCCATTTCCGCAGCCTGGTATAGTCATGCCTCAAGCTCAAGAAATTCCCAGTAGAACCAAACCCATAATCTGAAGTAGCCACCGACAGAGAAGAAGCTCGAGCGGAATCCTGGAATGGATGAAGCTTAAGAGTAGCCATTAAAGAAATTCCAAAATGTTATTCCAGAGGGGGTATAGTAGGTGAGAAATCGTGAAGCCCAGTGCGGCATTGTGAAATTGGTGGACGAGAACGACGTGCTTGGACCCAGCCCTTTACTGCTGTGTTAAAAAAAAAAAAAAAAAAAAAAAAAAAAAATGTTGGTCCAAACCTATGGAGATAGAAGATATAGTAATTATGTATATGAGGTTAATAATATTGTATTATTTATTTAAGTGAAAGTCATCTGAGTAAATGATTTTTAATTTATTATTTATATGGATAAAATAATAGAAAAATTGTTGGATAAGAAGGATTGAGTTGGGCCAGGGCTTGGCCCATTAGACATGTTGTAGACATATTAATCAACAAAACAAAACAGCTGAGGTTTGGGCAAAGGGACGGAAAGTACAGACATTGGAAAGGAAGAAATATCCACAGCTTCTGCTCCAAACCTATTCATTACAAAAAGACGCGCCGATTGCCTCTCTCCTCTCTCCTCTCTCCTCTCTCCTCTCTTGTGCTTCCCAATAAAGACCACTCCCGCTTTTACTATTTTGCCCTTCCCCTCTTTTTCTTCTTCTTCCTCTTTCACAATATTTGTCGCTCTCTTCCCATTTCTCTTATTCCTTGCTTCAATTTTCACTGCTATAATGTCGAGGTCGTCGACCCCCACGTCGACGTCGCTTTCCCCCATTAAACCCAAGGATTATGCTCACAGTCCTGTCCACTACGCCGTCGTTCTTGCTGATCATTCTGCTCTTTCCCGTATCGTTTCTACTCTTCCTCGTCTTGCCGATCCTGCTTTAATTCATACTGAGGTCGATTCCCTCGCTCAGGATCGGATCGCCGACAAGATCTCTGCCGTTCTAGACCGTCGTGATGTGCCTTATCGGGAAACTCCGCTTCATCTCGCTGTTAGGCTTAAGGATGCTTTTGCTGCGCGCACTCTTTCCTCTGCTGGTGCTGATATTTCTCTCCAGAATTCCGCTGGATGGAACCCTCTGCAGGAGGCTATGTGCCGCCGGAGTTCGGACATTGCGCTCATTCTCCTCCAGGTCCACCACCTTGCCGCTTGGTCCAAGTGGCGCCGACGACTGCCACGCGTCATTGCTGTTCTTCGTCGAATGCGTGATTTCTATATGGAAATTTCGTTCCATTTTGAGAGCTCTGTAATTCCGTTTGTTGGCAAAATTGCTCCGTCGGATACCTACAGAATTTGGAAGCGCGATGGTAATCTCAGAGCCGATACGTCGTTGGCTGGATTTGATGGTTTGAAGATCCAACGCGCGGATCAGAGTTTTCTCTTTCTCGGCGATGGGGATCAAAGCCACGACATTCCCTCAGGCTCCCTGCTTGTGATCAACCGCGACGATCGCAAAATTTTTGACGCGTTCGAGAACGCGGGGGCTCCGATGAGCGAGTCCGACATTGCCGGATTCTGCTCTCAGACAAGTATTTACCGGCCGGGAATGGACGTTACTAAAGCAGAACTCGTCGGAAGAACAAACTGGAGAAGACAGGAGAAAACCGAAAGCGTCGGAGAATGGAAAGCCAAAGTTTACGAAGTACATAACGTAGTGTTCAGCTTCCGATCGAGAAAAGTGGCCGGCAGCGAAGGTGATGTGGCAGGTAGCGAGCAGGTCCTCCCGCTGGAACTCGACGAAGACGACGACGGATTCCTAGTAGCCGAAAACCCTAGTTTCGGGCTTCCGGACCGGCATAGTACCGACCGGCGAAGGCACAGTAGCTTTGTTCGAGAAGAGAGGGAATGGGTGATGATGCCGAGGAAAAGCGTGGATATACCGTCGGCGACAGCAGCGCCGCCTCGGAAGGCCGTGAGGCCGAATTTTACGGCGGCTCCAATTGAGGCGCCGCAGACGAGGGAAAAAGAGTACGTGAGGAGCTTACGGCCATCGGTTTGGTTGACGGAGCAGTTTCCGTTAAAGACGGAAGAGCTTCTTCCTTTACTCGACATTTTGACTAACAAAGTGAAGGCGGTGAGAAGGATGAGAGAGCTGCTGACTACCAAGTTCCCGGCGGGAACTTTTCCGGTCAAGGTAAGAATTGAAAAAAGAAAAGTAAAACACGGCAACTGCAAGACGTCTTTCTGGGGTCAATTAAAAGTGGGCCCCGTTTCTCGAGCCTTAGNATTTCGCTTTCTTGTAGCCTATGCCCAATCTCTTTAATTTTTATTTATTTATTTTTATCGACGTCTAAGCAACGGTCTCACGTAGAGGGAGCCTTAGACGCCCTCTGATTGATGGACGTCCTCGTGGGGCCACCATGGTGGATCGTGTGGGTTGTTTTGATCCTCCGGTGGTGGAGGATTTACCCCACACAAAGAAAGCATCTGGGCCCCATTTTGCGTTTTCTCTGAATCCTGGTTTTCCTATGAGGAACGGGTCCCACTCTAAATACGCTTTTCTTTTTTCCTCACCAAACTGTAAAAAGAAAAACAATAACACCCAAATACATTTTGGTCAGATATTATAATTATTATTATTTGTTGGGAGAAAGAAAAGTTTTGTTATTATTCGGCTGAACGAGTGTCTTTGGATTTGTAGGTGGCTATTCCGGTGGTACCGACCGTAAGAGTGGTGATAACTTTCACCAAATTTGTGGAGCTTCCACCGGCGGAGCAATTCTACACGCCGTTATCAAGCCCAAGACAATTAGCCAACGGCGGGAGAGAAGACCCATCTGAATCGCGCTGTTCTTCCTCATCTTCCACTTCATCGTCGTCGACGTGGCTGAGGCGAAGCAGCAGCCACTCGGCTGCCGGGTCGACGGGCAAGCAAAACCAACGTTGTTCGTGGTCGGCGGCTCAAGACGAAATAGACCCATTTGCCATTCCAAGTGGTTATACGTGGGCGAAGTCGGAAGACAAATCAAGCAAAATGAAAAGGTCAAAATCCACAAGGAAATCGAAATAATTTGTGCTGCTGGAGGAATTAATTTAATTAGTTTCATGTTTTTGCTCGTGGTTTGCATTTACAGATACGATGTAGATAACCGTCTAATTATAACTCACTTGTCCTTTCAGAATGTTGGTGGTCTATAATATATATTTTGATTCCAGTCAACAATTTTAGTCAACTTGAAAGAAATTGTTGCTGACAGTTTTTTTTATTATTTTTTGTCGGAATTTTGATCTTTGCCCATTCAGTTCAATGTTCCTCCCCCCCCCCCCCCCCCCCCCCCCCCCCCCCCCCCCCCCCCCCCCCCCCCCCCCCCCCCCCCCCCCCCCCCCCCCCCCCCCCCCCCCCCCCCCCCCCCCCCCCCCCCCCCCCCCCCCCCCCCCCCCCCCCCCCCCCCCCCCCCCCCAGACTTACAATTTGAATCTTTTACTTTTTCCCCTTCTGGACCATCTCTTATTCCGATGCCCCACGGCTGGCCCCCTCTAAAATTGATGATCTTGTGAATGAACAGTTCAAAAACCAATCATTTGTGTACTTTGTGATCTAAACAGACGTGCTTATTGAATAATTGATGGTTGAGAGAAAGGAAACAGTTGGATTTGAATGGAAATTTGAATTTGAACCGAGGTTATATCAGTGGTTACACATGTAGTCAAAGTTTATAGGGGGCTTGTGAAAATGATATGCTTTGTGATTACGAGGAGGATTAAAGATGCAATTTATTAAAAAGAAAAAGATGAGCAAAAGGCATAGTTTGCTTGGTTAGATGGAAACCAGATGTAGTTGGCAAGTCCTTTATAAAAGTATTATTACAGTGGGGAGTGAAAGACAGCCCATCCACCTATGGCCTTATGTGCTGCTTCTGCTTTCTAAAGGCGTTTCTGGCAATTATTTTCTAATCTTCCTCAAATTCCTCCCCCCAAGTTTCCGAATTTCTTCATCGTTTTCCATCCCCAGGTATGCTCTTGACTATATCATCGCTTCCTGCTACTAATAATTACTGATTCAGATCTTTTCTGTTTCTGATATAGCTTAGTTTTGTTTGTGCTTCTTTTAGTTCAATATATGTTCAAATTTACGAAAATAATCTTTAGATCAGATCTCTCTCTCTCTCTCTCTCTCTCTCTCTCTAAAATGGGTTCAGCAATATGACAGCAAGAACCTAGCTGAATGTTGAAGAAAAGGCTAAATTTTGTGTAGCTTTACTAATCTGGGTAAATATAATGGATATCCGAACAAGGGTTGTTTTTAGCCATTTATATTTGATTGCTGTTGCTATTAAGACCAATAATGGATAGTGGGTGAGTCTAATATTGGTTGGGAGTTAAGACACCATGGCTGCAGAAGCACCAAGCTGGGCCGACCAATGGGGAGCCGGAGGGATTGGAGCCATAGAAGAAGACGATGGCAGTAAAGCCAAAGGAGAACACAGCTCCGACAAGAAGGCTAGGTCTAAGCCTGGATTTGCGAAGGCCAAGGCCGCGACCGTGGATGGTGCCAAAAAGATTGGAAGTGGGATATCTAATGGCATCAAGTGGATCATGAACCCACGCAAGAAAAACTCCAATTAAATTTCGGCAGATTTGTCTCAATATCCTTGGCACCAATATAACAGATCAGAGAGAGAGAGAAAAAGAAAAACCTACTTCTGTTAGCAAAAGGTTCAAACTTTTCATCATTCTGGTATTTGTTTTTTAAATTTTGGCAAGCATGGTTCTCAGAGTTCTGGACTAGATACGGCTAAGATATTCAGCATGCTGTGGAATTCAGGTTTCATCCTGTTATCATTTCCATATATCATAGAATCAAGTAGTAGTTTCAGGCTCATGTCTAAAGTGATTCCTGTGTCATAATGTCATGTTAGATTCTGATTAAATTGATCAGAAAGTTATCATTGCTGCTCGATATGCAACTAGAAAGATAGCAAAAGCTATTTCATTGTTTCACAGCTCAACTAAAAGAAGGAAATAAGCTAAAACATTTGGGGCACTCTTTGAGCAGCACCCTTATAACACACTAGAATAGAACGAAACAGAAGGCTGGTGGATAGATTGGTAGGTGGAATTTACAGGTCAATATGTCATTGTCCTTCAAGGAACCCACCAAAAACGTTTTCTCCACTGTATGACAAGTAAAGAAATCCATCTTCATCCTTATTTTCCTCATAAATTGCGGACATTAATGCACCTGTTGCACGGAGGAATTTATTACAATGCTTACATTCAACATGAGATCAGAGTCTAACAGAGAAAGGATGGTCTCTCACCAGTAGAAGGTAGAGTGTCCTTGACAAATACAAATATAGCTTTCTCGGAACTAAGTTTAATCCGTTTACGAACAACGTAAACTAACTGTCCAACAGTTATATCGGCGGGGACAAGGTATCTGCAATGGGAAAGATAACAACCCCCACACTGAATGAAAAGATTGTTCAAGGATACAATATTGGGCACCTCCAAAATGGATCATCTAATTGCTTATCCATGTTTGAGATTCATCGAGAATTATAAAGTATCAATCAAGGGACTGGATTTACTGCTATAACATGAGATTTAATATGGGCCTATGGCTTTAATGGAACTCACTCTAGTGCACTTTTTCCGGGTATCACTCAATTCAACGAGGTTACCACCTGATGAACAATAATGTTCACTATAGATTTAGGTTCTGGTGTTTCTAATGAACTCCACATTCAAACTACGTGCAAGGACTCCATTATTTTCATTTGACATATTACTGCTGCTGCTACAAACATATATGCTAGTATCTACTTGAATTTATCAGTTAAGAATGTGAAAACGTCTAATCCATTCATACTAATTCATGGATTCATAACAAGAAGGGACAGAGAGAATACTTGTTCTTATCAATGTCAGCAATTTTACTCCTCCCAGCTTTCTCGACAATCACCTGTTATACTCATTAGAATCAGTACCAAAACCGAAGCAAATTTTGGAGAAAACGAGAAGAAAAGAACTTGATTAGCAGCATTATTCTTACAGGTACTCTATCGGGGTACTTCTCTCTTATGCGAGCAGCTTCAGCCTGTCTCTTTTCTAAGAAGAGAAGACCCAGCAAAGTAAGCAATAACAGTTGAGCATGAAGTATCACATAATTCAGACTATGTGCTGTTTGATTCAACTGAATAGAATCACCCAAAAGGAGAGAAAATAATGGAAACAACAACACGAAGATCTTCAACTAGCAATTATTGGCTTGAATTCATATAAGTTCGCCAACAAAGGAACAAATTAAAAGCAATTAACCTGAATTTCAATTCCATGTCCCCAGATACTAGGCCTAGTGGTTCAATTATGGAACCCAAAGTAAAATCTCAATAGAAATACACGAATTACGCCAATATATATATATACTAAAAGAAGAAAACGGATGTATATAGAGCTTGAGCGACTAAAATTAAATGATTACCCAAAGGAATTCCGAGTTTGAACGAGCTTTTAGCCATGGATTAGAATCTCACGCGACGATTGCTCTCGGCCAAATCTGAAGATAGCCAAACGTTACAGCCCCACAAAGAATTCAGTTTCGAGAAAAGCAGAATCAAAATGAAAAAGCGAAGAAAGCAGAGTTTATTGTAATGATATACCCAACTGAAGATCAAAAAAGGGCGTTTAGAATTTCACTATTTCAGTGATGAATTTGCAAAAGGCAAGTGAAAGGAGAATTTAAACACAGACGGTAGTTGATCATGGCTCGTGAGTTTGGTAGATGAACGAACCTCTTTGCTGTTCAAATACGTATCTATCAGCCTACCTATTCTTTCCCGTCGGAGCAGATTCCCCGTCTCTCAAGTTATCACTCAGTGTGAGCCGTCCATTTAAAACAGGCCCGATTCTGTAACTATTTTTCAGAATATTTACGCAACGAATAATTTACACGCTTTCAAAAAATAAAAAGTAACAAAATCTGAAGAACGAAGGAATTTTTTATTTTTTTCATTTTTTTGATACAATTTAAGGAGAATTTTCTTCCAAGATAAAATAAAATCTAAAATAATTTTTTTTAAAAAAAATCAAAACAAATAATCTAAAATAAATCAAAATACATGCAACCCATAATCAAATTAAACCAATGGCAACTAACACAAAAATCTGGGAACAAAAAAAAGAAACAAATAAATCAAAGATATTTTATAGATATTTTCCATCCTTATCGACCATTTTTTCAACATTGGTTGACATAAAACTTTTCAAACTTTGCTTTTGATATCATGCCAATGATAATAGCGTTTCTTTCTTTCTTCTACTCGATATCCATTAGCATAGATAAGTATCTTATTCTTGTGTTTTAAAAGTTGAATGCACTGAAGAACAAAAATACTTGAAAAAGACGGAATCACATAAAACAAAGAAGTATTTATTATGGGAGATGTGAAAGATTTGAATGAAGAAAACGTAAGAGAGAAAGAGAGAGCAGTGACAAGGACATCACAGTTTGATTATTTTCCTTCTTTCTTTTCTGTATAATCATATCTTTACAGTACAATGAGAAAAGAGAAAGGGTGCAGAGTAAGGGGCAATGTTTAAAGAAGTTTCAGCACACTCTTTAAGCTTCCGTCTTTTTTGTGTTTCTGGGTGGCATCAACAACTGTGTCCTGGACGACATGTAGGAAATCTCAAATGTGTATCATTTCATATCATTTCATCATTTGCGTGTGCTTCGTTTCTCTCTTATCTCTCCTTCTTTGACTTTGAAAAGCAATGATTCTCTCAAAAGCTTTTGCTCCACACTGCATTCTCATCTTCCCCACAACGGCTGTGAACTTCCGTTATCCTTTCTACAGACTCACAAATCCCACTGCATTTCCAGTCAAATGAAGCCGCGCATGGATGTCCACTCTGAGCCTTCACCTCGCAATCTTGCACACCAGACACCGTTAGATATTTACTAATTCTTGGCAGTTATTTTGAGCTTTTGAGAACCAGGACTAATGGGGTTTCATAATTTACCGGGTGGGGTACCGCAGCATAGTTTTTTGTCATCTACATGCTCCACATCTAAACCAATCAACCAAGATCCCAATGAGACGTCTTCGTTAGCATATTTGTGCAGCACATCTCTGCACAGGTTTAATTCAGAACGATAGATTTTTTTTAATACTCTCAGAATCAGAATAGAATAGAGGCTTGTGGGTTTGAAGTGAGCGGGTGAGGATGGCTATATTTACGGGAGCAAACTCTACGCCAATATGAAGCACATGCATACAAGTTATAACTTGGAATGGAAGACAATTCTGAATTAGCTTTGTCTACGAGAATCGATATGAAACAATGGTTTGTGAAGCAATCTGGGATTGTGAGGAAAGAAACTTACTGATTCTTTAATATATACTTTGCTAGCTCCCTTGAAATTGCATAAAGCTGCCCCGTGGCATGACGAAAGTACTTGTTTCTTTCTCCACCAAATATCCAATGCTCTGGTTCATGGTACTTGACGCCCCTGTGGCAAAGGAAAAAGAAAAGATGTTTAAGAAATCAAAGATTAAAGATTCCGACTATTAGCGTTAGCTACAAAACATAGAAGTAACATTCACTTCTGTGAAAGGACAGGTCCAGACTTCATGCAACCAATGTAAACCCGAGGCTTCATTCGATGTGCAGCTAAAGTTGATCCGAGAGTAGCTGCAATAAATCATAAAGCAAGAACAGTATGAATGCATAATCAAAGCTCCTGAAATAACAAAACATTCTGTTCCACAAGGACCTCAATGAAAAATGATAATAACTGGTTCAAAAGCTCATCTCATAGACTTTTACCTAAGTTGACATGGACATCGTCATCGACTTTAATATAAAACTCAGCATCCCACAGAGAAACAACAGTGGCAAAATAAGTTTTTGTCTTGGCTGACAGTTCTAGATAGCCTTCGACATGATTCTGCTTTCATTATTGGAAAAAAATGCGAATGCATAAGTTGTATTGTTGCACGTAATTCTTGCATTTAGTTAGACACAACAGGGAAATAACAGCACTACCAGTCTCAAGAAATCTCTATTGGTAAGTTCCTCTGCAGCAACAGCTTTATCAAGAATGCCACCAGATGTTGAACTAGTAACATCGAGACAGGATGAGAAACTTTTATTGATTACTTAGTTATGTATACTCTACATAACTAAAAGATGTTCATGAGATGCTAGGTGAACATATGGCAAAGGACCATAAATGAAGGCTAGCTAATTCATGGATCTTCTAAGTGTTCTGTGAATTCAGCTTCATTAATTATGCAGACTACATTATTTTCTTACCTATGTCCTATAACAAAACGTATGATTATGCCCATCTCTTCCTCCAGCTTCTTTCTTTTTTCACCTTGAAAATATTTTCCCCATTAGAACAGTTTGACACTAAAATAAATGTTCATGTTCCCTCAAACTAGTTGAAAACAAACATAAATTTATACATGGGACTATTGGTTTTCACCTTGTGGCATCCAAGTGCTACGAATCGAGTCTCTTCGCTTCCGACTGTTAAAAGCTGTATTTATTCCTATAACCATAAAGTATTTTTTTCTCTTTGAAGTTGAATCATTAGTCTTTGAATTGTCCAATGTGAGAGATCCATTTGAAGCAGATTCGTTATCTTCTAATGCAGCTGCCAATTTCCTTTCCAAATCTGCAATCGTGTGATTCAGTTCCCTGTAACCATACAGATAACTTCTATAGAACATTTGAGAAAACATAAGCACTGATAGCAGTGTTTGAAGAAACAAGCGGCTTACTGGATACTCAGCTGTGTCCTTGAATTCTCACTTATGCCTGCATTGTATGCATTCTTCACCAAAAAGAATTACAGTGACACAGTCAAAAAGATCCCAAATAAGTGTAAAAGTTTAGTAAATTGATGAAAAGCAGATGTCTGAAAGATATACTCACACGTTCTGGACTACACTCCTCAGATTTTATCTTCCTTTGAACATCAGCAACCCTAAAATTTTTTGAAGCTCCTTTTCCTTCTGGAACCATCCACATTCTGGGTAATGTATGAAAAGGAATGAAATCCAAGCATTGAAGTTAGTAATTCTCAAATTAAAAAATGATTGATCGTAGCAGAGAGTAACGAATGCGATAATAGTTTCATCAATGCTAAAATCAAAGATTATCAGCCGCCAATAGAAAATAGAACTGCAGATGAAAGTTTCCAAGCAATAAAGAAATTGAAATCAGTTGAAAATCTATAACGCCAATGTGCATAATTTAGTAAACAAACTGGGGAATTCGTGGTTTAAGCCTTGAGGTATAAATGGAATCCAAACCCAAGAAAGATTAAGAGAAAGAAACCTGTTAGTGAAGAACATTCCAGCGCAAAAGCTCCCAAGATATAGGAGAAGAACCCAACTCCTAGAGAAAGCATTTCTTGAAGCAAACTCGCCGCCTCCTCTGTTCTTCATCGGCATTTCCCTCCTTTCCCCAACTTAGTACACTCTACACACTTGAGATTCAAAAGAGTAAAGTAAAATTAAAGGAATTAAATGAAAACGAACCAAGGAAAGAAACCCAGAAAGAATAATGGAGCAGCGATTAGGGAAGGTACGGCTTTGTGGGTCAAATGGATTGAAACCCCATTTGTTTACAATCGAATTCGGGTTTTATCTCAAAAGTGGAAATTGGGTCGTTTCTCCGTACACCATTAACAATGGTGTTGAGTTAAAAACTCCGATCCCGTATCGAGCACCAACAGCAGCAGTGATTTTGCTTTCATTTTCGGTTAGGAGTACAGCACTTGTCAATAATGATGAAGTGGGAACTTTTGAATATATTAAAGGGAGAAGACCATTGTGTTTAACCTTGAGTTGAACATTCCTTTGAGGAATAAATAACTTTTGGCCTTCATCCATAATTTCATCCCGAATTTTCAATAAGCCACAGGGAGCAGAAATTTGTTCTTCTGCACAAAAGTGTCCCTTACATTTTAGAAAACCCATTGTCTAAAAGAAGAACACTTTTTAGGAAACGCCTCTAAACGTTTTTGCACAAAAATGGAAATAACCGAAAAGTAAATTAATATTTTATTTATAAAATAAGGGTAACAGCCCAAGTCCATAGCCCAATTCAAGGGAGAACCAGATAGTCCATAGCCCAATTCAAGAGTGAACTAGATAGCACATAGCCCAAGTCAAGGGTGAACTAGATAGTCCATAGCCCAAGTCCACAGCCCAATTCAAGAGTGAACCAGATAGCCCGTAGTCCAAGTCCTAGCCCAATTCAAGGGTGAACCAGATAGTCCATAGCCCAAGCCCATAGCCCAGTTTTGACCGTTACGGGCCATTGGCCAAATCCAATGGGCTCTGGTTGGTCCATGTTTGAGTGGATATACAGGCCATTGGCCCAATTCAAGGGTGAACCAGTTCCGCTTCTTCCATCTTCATTGCCCGCCGTTTTCGCCTGTTGTTGAAACTTCTCTGTTTCCTGCTGGGATTTTGGAGAGGTTTTTGAAAGCACCAAAAAGAATGGAATTTGAGAAGAGGAAAGCTGCGACCATGGCGTCACTGGGCTCAACTGAGACCGACAAATCACCTAAGGGAAGCTTGGATACCCCAATTATACCTCTTATCAACACTCTCAACAACCATCCGTCTTACTTCACCACAAGTTCCTGCTCTGGTCGTATTTCAATTCTCTCTCAACCAGTCTGTAGCACCTCTGCCGCCGCCTCGAAGCCGAGGAAGAAAGCTCTAGGTGGTTCTTGGCTGTTTGTTAGTCACGAGTTTGCCGATCCCAACTCAGTAATCGACCTCCTCTTCCGTTCTCCGTCAACTAATGGGGAGTTATCTGAGCTCGTGTTCAGGTTCGAACCTCTGATCATAGCAATTGAATGCAAGGACCTTGGATCGGCTCAGGATTTGGTTTCCACTGCTATATCTAGTGGGTTCAGAGAATCAGGCATTACCAGTGCTAGCAAGCGTGTGATAATTGCAATTCGCTGTTCAATTCGAATGGAGGTGCCTTTGGGAACTACCGAAAAGATTATGGTCTCACCCGAGTACGTCCGGTACCTTGTTGATGTAGCAAATGAGAAGATGGTGGCCAATAAGAAGAGAACTGATGGTTTTCTGAAGGCATTGCAAAGTCGTGTTTCTGCGGTTACTTATGTTTCGCAAACGTGTCAAGGAATATCATTGAGGGAGGCAATGGAGGAGGCAAATGATTTGCTCGATAGCAAGGAACATAGTTGTGCTGATGAGGAAGATTGTGGAGCTTTAGAAGGCGGGAATAGGAATGCCAATTCTGGTAAATTGATCACCAGCAGATAATATCTATAGTTTTAAGTGTCTATCTATGATGTTTAACCTGAGAGAAATTTGTAATTCTAACTGTTAGTGATTCATACATTTCTCCAATAATTAGATTCAAACGTCAATGAAAAGTCTTGAGAATTATTTCATGTGGTATGATAATTATGTGTTCGAAAGAACGGAAAAGGAATCTCTTTATCTTTGACTGTATGAACAAACAAAAAATCAACTTCAATGAAAAATGGACAACGTTGGTTAGACGTATACACGCTGTGATTAAGGTGTATTGATTCTAGTTCAAGTAGTATTGACTATACTGAAATTTTGTAATTGCAGGACTGCTTTCCTTTTAATCTGAAAGCAAGTCTGAGTCTTTGAATCATTGACAGGATCATCAGAAGCATGCAATTATAGTTTATCTGTTGAACAGATGGGCATTTCAGGAGAGCCTATGGCAAAGCTTTTTATTTGGGGGCACTCAGCCACTACTGTTCACAAAAAAGTTATTTCATTTGGTGGATTTGGAGGCATGGGCAGACATGCAAGAAGAAATGATTTGTTACAACTTGATATGTTGTCATGCACATTGCAGACGATCAATGTAGAGGATAGTCCATCTCCTCGTTTGGGTCACACATCATCTTTGGTTGGAGATTGCCTTTATGTCATTGGTGGCAGGACAGATCCTACGTACATTCTGAATGATGTATGGGTCTTTGATATCACTCAGGAAAAATGGACGTTATTAAAATGCACTGGTAGCTCTTTCTCTCCTAGGTGAAGTCTTTGCTACCTGCATTGTCTTTGTACCTTTTTGTCATTGCAGTTTCATTTCTTTTTGCTTCTTTTCATTTCCAATGCAATAAGTCACTGCATAGCTGGTTCACAAATGTACCTCTTTCCTATTCTTAATGTTTATAGTTCTAATGCAGGCACCGTCATGCTGCAGCAGCAGTAGGCTCAAAGATTTATGTATTTGGTGGACTTGAGAATGACAGAATCTCATCTTCCTTGATTGTCCTCAACACAAATAGTCATCAGTGGAAAGAAATTCAGGCTGGTGGTGATCAGCCATGCGGTCGTCATTCACACTCAATGGTTTCTTATGGGTCGCATTTATATATGTTTGGGGGGTATGATGGGGAAAAAGCTTTTGGAGACTTATATTCTTTTAATACAGAAAATTGTTTTTGGAAGAAGGAAAATATAGCGGGGAGAACTCCGAATGCAAGGTTTTCCCATGCTATGTTTGTGTATGAAAATTATATTGGAATTATTGGAGGTTGTCCTGTGAGTCAAAGCTATCAAGAGTTAGCATTACTTGATTTGCAGCATCGTTTCTGGAGACACGTGTCCCTAAATTGTACTGGCAAGGAATTATTTGTACGTTGCACAGCCAATGTGGTTGGTGATGATCTTGTCCTAGTTGGTGGTGGAGCATCCTGTTATGCATTTGGGACGAACTTTAGTGAGCCAGTGAAAATTAGGTTGCGTCCATTGATATCCTCAGAGGTTATTTTAGGGCATCCTCGAAACACAGAAAACCTTGTGACTCGTCCCATTGAAGAGTTGGAGAAGGAGAGCAGAGATCCTGAATGTCTGCTCAATGGCAATGCTCAAACTTTCAATGAAGCGTCTGGTTTTAATATTGATAGTGGAAAATCCAATTCCCATGAAAAAGAAGGTGCTTTGTATTGGGTTTTAAAAATTGAAAGAAATTATGCAAAACTTGGGAAAGACATTTTAAAGAGGTATGGGTGGCTGGATCTGGCTAGAAAGGTTTCTTCTCGTGGTAGTAGAACACATATTTGCTTTCCAGTGATTGGAAAATTTTGTGATATATTTGATGAAAAGAAGTCCTGGTGGGCTGATCAACTTGAACCGGAAAATGACTTTCATGTCTCTGAACTTGAAAGTTGGGAAGGAGGCCTGACAAATAAATGCTCTTACCTAAAAGCTTTGAATATTTTAAGGAAATGTGGTGCAACTAAACTGGTGGATGAAGTTGTTGACATAAAAACTGCAGCCAAATCTCCATATAAAAAGATGAGCGAAGCAGTATCCTCTTTGCTAAAGCATAATGGCTTATCTGAAGAACTGTTGGAGGAGCTGCCAACAAGGTGTGTGTGTGTGTAGGGGGGGGGGTTTCTTTTTCTTCTATCCTGGCATCTGCATTTTTGTTTCAATATTTTAAATTAGAGTATTATCACAGGTTTGATATGACATCATAATTGTAGAAAAGGGTAAGAACATGTCACTTTTGTTTGAAAGGCTTTAATAGGTACCTGAGAATCATTCTGGCACTTCCATGAGTGGATATGATTTTATTGCATTGCTAGTTGCTAAAAGATAAATCGATTTGTCTTTCTCAGGTGGGAGCGACTTGGGGATATTGTGGTGCTTCCAGTCACATCTTTTAAGGATCCTACATGGGACACTATTGGGGTGGAGCTGTGGCCTATGGTTGCCAAATCACTTGGTATTTCTCGTCTTGCTCGCCAAGTAAGTTTCGTTTAGAAAACCTTGGTGGAACTTAATATCTGTAGTGTTCTCTCTCTCGTTGTAGGAAATAAAGCATCTTTAGCAGTCTGTAATTGCATCTTCGGGAGTTGAAAATGAAGTCATTTAATAATTCTTTTACCAGAAAAACTTCAGCTGAGATCATTAGCTCAAAAACAATAATTATCTGCTGTTAGTTCTTTTATCTGCTTTCAGTCAGTAAATGACATTTAAAACAAAATCTGAACTTGAATTTTGAAACTAACTTATGTTTCCTGCTTGAATTTATATCTTTTTAGGGACGAGTTGCTTCGACTGGTACAAGGGATAGTAACTTAGAGATACTAGTGGGAGATAATGGTTGGGTTGACCATCGAGAAAATGGAATAACTTATTCTTTCGATGCCACTAAGTGCATGTTTTCCTGGGGAAATCTTTCTGAGAAGCTACGGATGGCCCATCTGGACTGTAAAGATGAGACCGTTGTGGATTTATTTGCCGGAATTGGATATTTTGTATTGCCATTTCTTGTCGGGTACATTACTTTATTCTTTTACCACTTTCTTTCTTTCTTGTATTCTTCTCTTCAAATCGATGACGATATTTTGAATTGCTTGTTCTGATTCTTCTAAATTGTGCTAGTGTCAATTGCCTAACTCATATTTGTTGAAGTTAGGGAAGTAACATCTCTTGAGAACTTATATTTAGCAAAAAAGTGTGCCAATATTTTTTACATTGCTACGCACTCCATAGAATATTGACACATAAAACCCATCAAGAACTTTTTCCATGCTTGCTCATGAAACAAACTGTGGCAAACACTTTTTCTACATTCTTATGCGTTCTCAACTTTGGTGCCTATTTATCTAATCCAAGTAAGGAATTGAATTGAAATATGCCATTGATTGATCAGGGCTAAGGCAAAGCTGGTCTATGCTTGTGAGTGGAATCCTCACGCTCTTGAGGCACTTACACGTAATTTACAAGCTAATTGCGTGAGCAATCGTTGTATTGTTCTTGAAGGAGATAACCGGGAGACAGCACCCAAGGTGATCATTCCAGATCTCTAGAAACTACTACACAAGTTCTAGATTTCGCTACTGTTAAGACTCATATTAATTAGACTTAGATGTCATTTGTTTAAACAGTATAATGGACTTTATCCCATGCATCCATCCTTGTGGGGTGAGAGCTAGTAACGGATTTGTAAGATCTGATGTACTGTTCAGGAAGGAAATTTACTTCTGACCCGTTTTGTTTTGTTTTGTTTTTAATATTTTCAGGGAGTAGCGGATCGGGTTTGTCTTGGTCTCCTTCCAACAAGTGAGGGTAGCTGGGTGACGGCTGTAAGAGCATTGAGGTGATATTTTGTGACTTGGATTCAGATTCCATCTTAGGGACTCCCTATACACCTCATTTTTATTTGAGCCCAAAACATTGAATGAAAATTTGTGGCCTCAACGACCTAAATATTTCCATTTATTAGTTGATTATCTTATCTTGAAATGACTCAAAAGTCGAAAAGCTACGAGTGTTTGTACTTTTTCTTACCTACTTCTTCTTCAATAATCGCATTCAATGCTGAAACCGAATGTGCAGACTTGAAGGCGGCACCCTACATGTGCATGGTAATGTAAAGGACTCAGAAGAAGAACTGTGGACTCAACACCTCCTGCACTCAATAACTGAAATTGCTAAATCTGAAGGTTTCTTATTACTTTCTTCCTTTTTTCCCAAGTTGGGATATGTACAAATTTAAATAACATCTGATCTGATACTGAACTTGGATGGTTTTCTATTTCAGGTCATTGTTGGGATGTCTCGGTAGAACACATCGAAAGAGTAAAATGGTATGCCCCACACATTCGCCATCTTGTTGTGGATGTTCGATGCAAAAGGATTCAACAGAACAGCTGAGGAATCTACTTCCTGCATGAATCTAGATGAGTTATGGTGGTCGTAATGGTATGGTCAAAACCCCGACGCTGCATAGGTCGTGATCGCCTTGATATGATTTTGGAAGGGTTAAGACCGAAAGCAACGAGAGTTCATGCGAGCTGACAACTGTTCTCTTCCGCTCAATGTTGGAGTTTTGGAATCGGTACCATTTTAATAACAAGGTCTTATTAAAAATAGGATAGATTGTAGAATTATTCATAAACCGATGCCTTCTATTGAACATACTTTTCAATAGAAATAGGATTATTGTTTTATGTTTTCTATTGAACATACTCTTCAGAATGCATCAAATAGTTGATCGGATAAGGCAGATCTTGTTCTTTAAATCGTATTTCAACAATATTGAGTTCTTCAAATGCTCATTTCCAAACAATTAGTTTAACAAGCAAACAGAACTGGAAAACATCAAGAACAAAAATCATTAGCTTGCTCTTGCAAGATCCTTATTAGGTAACAGCTGAAAGATAAAAAGAGAACAGGCTACATATACACAAAAATTACCTCTACTTCTCATTGAAGTACTACACTCAAGATAAGGCAGCAAATAGAAAAGGAAAGAATGATGAGTTTTTGACAACGTCCGAATTTAAGAAGTCCTTGCCAATCAGTCCAATCCACCGGGGCAGGACACGAGTCTGTCGAGCGACTCGATCGCATTATAATACCCACTGCTTTGAAGTCTGAATTGGCTTCTATGAAGTTAAAAGAGTTTTCCTGGTTGTGTTGTTCCACTTCTCATCATTGCGCAGAATTCCTGGTAATTGATTCTACCATCCTATAGATGCAAAGAAGAGTGAGTTGAAAATCATTTTTTGGCATTAGTTTTTAGAGTAAGAGGGAACTTGAAAAACTTACATTATCTGTGTCCACCTCAGAGATGATTTCCTTGATGCTGGCTTCATCACCCATGCCATAATCCTTCATAGCATTCTCCAGTTCATCTTTTGTTATGTATCTGTTATCAGAACAGGAGCAAAGCTCGGCAATATGAAGGCGTATATATATTACGGGTCGCAAATTATTGAAGTTCTTCAACATTCTATATGCATCTAGAGGATCTGGAAAGTTTCGTACTTACCCACTACTATCCATGTCAAAAAACTGAAATGCTTTGTATAAGTGTTCATCTCTTTCCAGTCTGTGCCTATGCATGGTTGCAGAGATAAACTCAATATAGTCAATCGATCCATTTCCATCAACATCAGCCTGAAAAGTTAGAAATTTGATATGATAGAATTCTTAAGAAACAGCTAATTAGTAGCATTGGAGGTAAGTATTTAATTACAGCTTCCATTAGTTGCTTCACTTCAGCCTCTGAAAGCCGTGAACCAAGCCGAGCTAAACCTGTCTTCAACTCATCATAAGTGATATTGCCACTATTGTCAGTATCTATGTTTGCAAACATAGCTTTAAGGCCTTTAATTTCTTCTTCAGATAAGTTTTCCGCAATGACCTAAGATGCATATAGAGGGACTCGTGTATTAGTATTGAGAAGAAAGAAAATAGGAAAGATATGTTGAGGTAAGCAAGAACAAAGCATCTTTCTAATGGAAAAGGAGATTGTGGGGGGGAAATCTGAACAGACATACACAAAGTAAAAGGGTCGCAAAAACTTTACAAGTTGAACATACATCTGAATTAAAAGTTAAGCAGCTCCTTAGACTGCTTAATTTTCTTGGGGGATTAGCTCAGAGAGTGGTTATGTAATAATCCGAGCCCACCGGTAGCAGATATTGTCCTCTTTGTATTTTCTCTTCCGACTTCCCCTCAAGGTTTTAAAACGAGTCTGTTAGGGAGAGGTTTTCACACTGTTATAAGGAATGTTTCGTTCCCCTCTCCAACCGATGTGGGATCTCACATGTCAATATGCAAGCCACAAACATCATCATCATCAAATGTGCTAGGGAATGGTGTCCTTAGAGCCCCATAGAGATAGGCAACACATACATCAAATATATTATGTTCTCAATATGCGCAAAATAAACCGGAGTCGTGGTTGCAGTTTAATAATTACCTTCAAAGCAAGCTTCTTAAGCTTATTCATTGCCCTGAATTGCTTCATTCTAGACAGAACGGCGCTATCTATTGGCTTGTCTGAAGCGTCTCCCCCTTCTCTAATCCATGGATGTTCTAGATGAAGAACTTAATCTTTAGGCCATATAACAAATACAAACTTAATATATAACAAAAACATAATTACTGGGAGCAGCGTAGAAGAAAACCAAGAGATATATATATATATGTATGTATGTATGTATGTAGTAGGAGGGTTGGTTGATACCTAGAACTTGTGCAGGAGTTATCCTCTTCCTCGGATCCTGTGTCAGCATTTTTCTCACAAGATCTTTAGCACTTTCGGATATTGTTGGCCAAGGTGCACTACCAAAATCAATATCTCCTTGCAGTATGGTATCAAATATTCCCTTCTCATTTTCTGCCCAAAATGGAGGTACACCACTGAGAAGGATGTACAAAATAACTCCTGCACTCCAAACATCAGTTTCCTTCCCATAATTTCGCCTCAACACTTCAGGAGCAACATAGTAAGCACTGCCAACTATGTCACGGTACACTTTACCTGAGATTACATATAAAAACTCTCATATCACAAGGAGCCCAGTTGAGCCCTGTTGGCATCACAATAATTTCAATCCAAATAAGAAAAAACGTTTGTGTTTCAGTTCAGAAACTCAATCAATCCATGAGCAAAAAAGAAAACAAAAGGACGAACCTTGTTCAATGAAAACAGAGAGTCCAAAATCAGTGGCCTTCAACATTGCTCCCTCTTTCTTGCTAGACAACAGGAAATTCTCAGGCTTCAGATCACGGTGCATAACCCCCATAAAATGGCATATTTGAACAACATTTACAATGGCACGACAAATCTCAGCAGCAGCTTTTTCAGAGTACTGACCCTGCGCAATAATCCTATCAAAAAGCTCCCCACCAGCACAAAGTTCCATCACCAGATGAACAGAATATCCATCCTCATAAGCACCTTTGAACTCAACGATGTTTGGCTGCCCAGAAAGATGCTGCAGAATCAGAATTTCCCTCTTCATATCATCCTTGTCATTCTTACTAATAAGTTTCCGTTTAAGGATAGATTTGCAGGCGTATGTTTGGCCAGTGGAAATCTCAGTACATAAATAGGTAATACCAAACTGCCCTCTACCCAATTCTTTCCCAAGAGTATAGTGTTTTCTAATATCATCATAGGGTCTACCCAGAATTGTTTCTGGGTGATTTTGCACGGTCCTGGGTTTGGGGAAAGCTGAAGCTGACGGCGGATGCGCCGCCGTTGATGGTGGTGGTGGTAGTTGAGGCTGATTTCGGTTAGCTGGGATTTGGGTTTGAGGGGCTGATACCTTCTCAGTCGGGACAGTGAAGTGAGGTTGGTAAGATTGATAAGGACCTCTGGCTGCAATCCCAGTAGCGGAATCAGAGGCATTAACTCCAGATGTTAGAGGCTTTTGCGTGCTGCCACAGCAACCCATTATGTAATCGGAGAGTGTCACGTGGAGAGGGATGTGTATAGTAAAAAAATGGAAGCCCCACTTAAGAATTGAATTTCTGGGAATGTTGAAGAACAAATCTGACGGCCCAGCCTGTATCCGGAAAATGGAGATGAAAGAGAAAAATGGAATTCAGAGGTTGGGAGAGAAGATGACACCCAAAGAGTAACCTAGAAATTGGGTTTTTGTGAGGCAAATGAGGGATGAAATTCAAGTCTGCGCGAAGGAAACCCACAGATTGGGCAAGAAAATGTTGGGTAATAACGCCAACCATTTGTCTCCGTCTTTGTCCATTGACTTCAAAAAACAATAGTGTAGTCAACTCAACGAACGCGGCACTTGTTCTTGACAGTTCCAAGCTGCATATCTTTCTTTTTCTTTTTTTTCCTTTTAATTTCTTCTTAATTGAGTTTATTTTAACACTAAATTTCAATCTTCATATTATTTAAATATTTCATTTCAAGAATCAGGCCTTTTTTTTCACTATTTTTTCTTTTATCTTTAATTCTCTGATTTGACCGATAAATACAGTCACACTCCCGAATTAATTAATTCTTTTATATTTTTCTCAAATTTAGAAAATTCTTAATGGTATACACTACCAACTTCTTTAATCACTGCGTAAAAATAATAATATTAATTAATCCGATTTAATATTTTTATTGCACTCTGAGCTCAGACTCGCTTTTTGACTCGTGTTAACTAAGAAAAACGGTTACCCATAGGTTCATAGAACACACGGTGCACTTTTATAATTTTCTATTCCTTTTTTTTTAAAAATTACACTTGTCATTTTCTAAATGGAATGGAACCCTTTGATTGTGATTTGAATGATTGGGGAATGACACGTATAATATGAGGGTTTTGTTTTCTTTTATATATATAAAATTGGGCTGGGGTCCAATCCATCACAAATATCCGAGTTTCTGGGTCCATGGATCCAGGCATGGGCGCGTTTTTAAGTGGACTGCAACTAGCCAAGGCCCAATTTTCATTAGCGTCACATTTGTTAGCTCAAAATCAGTGGCTGCAAAATGCGAGGTTGCCACATGGGCGCTGTCAGCTTCTTAGGAAAAGGAATGGCATTTGCAGACCATCGAGGCACCAACACACTGCACGCCCCTCGCCCCCTTTGCTTAATACTTAATTCAATGTCCTTGTCCTTGTCTTCCACCCGCATATGGCCTCGCCCACAATTTTTCTTTACAACTTAAATAGTCCCATGTAGTTTCATGACCTAAAATCTGAAATTTGTCAGAGATTTTATTAAAAAAAATAAAATTATATGAGTGTTTTCCTCTCCTTTTCATTTCGTTTTCTTCCCCTATTCAAAACGCTCCTTCTTTCTCTCCACTTTAATGAATCTTCCCACTCTCTCTCTACTGTTTCATTGCTTTCCTTTCCATCTTGTTTCTTGCTAATGGGTTTACGACAAAGAGATCCCAGTTTCTTAAACTTAATAATAATAATAATAACCAAACTGTAAAAATAAATGTCCCAAGGGAAAAAATTGGGAGACTGATTTTCAACAGAGTTGGAAGAGATGGGTTGGTTTCATATTCCATTCCGGTCACCGGACGAGCAGTACTTTAAAATCAGAGAATATGTTCTTTAGCTATGCTCGGGAATCTGGGATCATGATTTGCCACCGCGTTTACCCGATTAATCCGGGTCAGCTACAACCCAAGGGAAAAAACTGGCCCACTTTCACAATATTTGATTAATTCTTGGTTGATCTTCATCTCCTAGTCCTTACAGTGATTTTTAATTTTAAATTCTGAAATTTTTAGCCATCGAACCCGGTCTGGCTCCATACCGCATCCCGGACACGTCTCATGTCCCGGCCCTTCAGGGTTCGGCCGACACCGACGAAAACGGAAGTGGCGTTCATCTTTCGGCTTCTGGCCAAGTACTCATGCGGCGGAACGATCTCCGAGTCCCGGTCATCCAACGTCTCGTCCAACTCGTGTAACGAGTCCACCGAGTCTACACGGAGAATCTTGCTCCAATCCGGCACGTTCACGGGCGCTGACGTAGCCATCTGCCGTCCTCGTGGAGACGCTTCGCTGTCGCTACCCCGAAACTGGTGCACGATTCTCCCCGATGTCATCCTCCCTGGATCTTCAAATGCCAACGACAGCCCGCCTACGTGTCGCTCACCTGTATCCCGAGGAACCCCTTTCCCTTTCCTCACCGAAATCCCTCCATGACGATAATTAGTCCCGTCACCGCTGCCACCGGCAAGAGCCGACGAATTCTCTTCGCCGAAATCCTCTTCCCGGTCCGGCTCGACGGTATCATCCATCGGCCACACATCCTCTTCACCCAGATCGGACGAGTCAGTCCCGGTGGAATCGTGGCTATGACTGCAGCTATAGGTACCGAGATATCGCTCGCTCCGACTTGTTGTCAACTTCCGGCCTTTAGCCATTATTGAAATGAATTTCCCCGGAAGGGAAACTATACATTAAACAGTGAATATACTACACTAATACCTCCCCCTCTCACACTAAAAATACAAATGGGCTGAAATTATAAGACCATAGGGGGAGTGGTTGGGAGGGTGGGTGCGCTGTATATATAATATTACGAACTTCCATTCCTTGCATTTCATTTGAATTTGGGTTCATTTCGTCCGCATTTCTGTCAAATCGAAGCTTCAATCAATTGCATGGTAAGAAATAAGGATAGAAGACGACAAGACAGCCACAAAAGCTATTATTAATGCATACATAAATACAAAACAATAAGCGAAATATTTCCCAATTCCAAGTTATAATTATTAATTAACTCTGAAATTAAATACACTGGTCCTAAGTGTCACGCTCTGTTCAAGGCGCGTGCTGTCATTCTCCTTGCTTTTATGTCGAAAAGTGGCAACAGAATTCTTCCATATTAGGAATTTGGTCATGATTAGTTTCTTTTAATTATTACTAATTAATATGCTAAATTTATGGCCTACATTTCAGATTGACTCTCCACCGTCTGATATGTAGTCAAACTCCAATTACCTCAGTTTATAATAATAATTAAAAAAAAAAAAAAAAACACACATTTACGGCGGTCGTGCAGGAAATAAACACACGCATAGTTCGACTGATTTGGAGCCTGAGGTCCACGTGTCCTGGAAGCCAGACGTCTCAGCAAAGACCGCGTGTATGAATGAATGGATACAAATAATTGTGGGACCGGATTACCCAATCATACGTGTCGATGGATGAATGGATGTATTGAAAATAACATTGGTTTATACATTAATTTTGGTGGTTGAAACGTAAACCAACTCAATTTAGTGAGTTTAAAAATATAATGAATTAATTATTAAGGAATAACAAGGGTGGGGTTCGCGTTCGTGATGCTGCGCACATTGGACGGCTCAGAGAAGGACAATGGGACCCACCCAAAATGTGGGGGGTACTGTGATTACCGAAACTTGCCCTTTATTGAAGCATTTACAGAAAGAAACGCCCGTATTCACCCGTTTACTTTCTAGTTAAACCGTATTTACTCTGGGGTTAATTAAATTTTTACTGAAAAAGCTTACCGTCGTTGCGTGGTAATTATTCATATAAGTTGAAACCATATTCTTTTATAAGTAGGAAGAAAATGTTTAATGTTGATATATTACGATAAGGGAATGGCAATATCGTGTTTTGATTGGACACACTGGGGGTTGGGTCCCAGAAGCAAGTGTTTTGAGTAATGGCAGATTAATGGACCCACACAAAAATATATATGATAAAAAAAAATTAGAATCCTATGCGGGCTGCCGTATTTTAATCCTGCGGACAACTCTCCCTATCTCAGGGAGATATGCTATGCGATTGCAATATATCAGCTTTAATCATGTACTAATATATGTGTTTCCTATTCTCTCCTTTTTCTTCAATTACGATGTGGGATGAATCTTAGTTCAATCATAATTACAATCTCCATTGCCCCAAGAACAAGTTATATATAGGTTTTAGTGAGGAACCATTATGCCAAAAATAGGGCTTAAAAGCAAGCATATGAAACCCACTCGATCAACAAAGCAGCGGCGGGAAATGAAGAGGAAAAGGCTAAGACAAAACCAAGCCATGTGAGTGTCAATTTGTCAAATGTTAAGAAAAATGGGAAAAGATTATAAGAATCTGATATGTGCTGCTTGTCGGGGAGTTGGTACCAGCAGCCAAAAATCATAGTTGCAAGAGAAGAAGAAGAAAGAGTGTGCTACTCCATTTTTGGGTTTGGTACTTTCACAATCCATATCCATACCCATTTAATTAAAATGTAAATGCGCATCGGAAATTGAATCTGATTTTAGGGTTCTAAAGTAATGGGGTTTTAATTTGTTTAATCCACTTGATTACAAGTTGTGCACCGATTGTGGTGGAGTTGAATCATACGGGGTTATTTAAATTATCATTATTGTTATATACTTGGCTTTTGTGGGTTCAAGCTGTTACTCAATTCCCAATGAACTCCATGAAGATTCTATCCTCTTTGGCTTTCCTCCATTAAAGGAATTAGAGAGGCACTTTGCAGATGTTGCCTGTCCTGTAAAAGCTCTCTAACTCAAAACAACACAACTTTTTCCTTATGCATATCACTTAACTTTACACCAATTCTTTCTTTCCAATGTAGAGGCCTTAAAAGATGTCCAAAGAAATAATGACATTATTATTATTTAAATATATATACTGACTTCACCAAATTTAATAGTTAACCTATTATGATATATAATTTTAATTAAATTATACGCTACTAAACAATGAAGACTTGAATAAATTGAATTATATTTTGTCGAGGTTTCTTTATTTTTATAAAATGAGAGAATATTCTCCCTAATTATTGAGCTGATAAAAAAAAAATAAAAGAAAGTAATTGAGAATCTTTCCCTTTGGGAAATTGAAAGGGTATCCAATCGTTTTGACAGGCAATTGGACATATCTCCTCGTCCCCATCAACTACTCTCGACTTCGACTCCCCATATTTACACCTTTTCTTATAGACAACAAAAAAAAAAAAAAAAAAAAAAAAAAAAAAAAAAAAAAAAAAAAAAAAAAAAAAAAAAAAAAAAAAAAAGTTGACATTTTAAAAAAAATGTAATTGACTTTTTAATTTGTGTTGCTTAATTTTGAATATATTTTATTTTTTGTATTTAATTATACAATGAAATAGGTAAAACCACAATCGTGCTAAAATTATTTAAATTCCCAAGTTATAGTGGGAATATCGTCCTTAGGAGAGCACTTAATGTTTGTCTCCAATAACTTAATTTAATAATGCATTAACTTGTTTTTAATGTCTATGGTACATGATTTGTGGTTACTCCTAAATATATTATCTACTATCCCCTTTGCATTTCAGTGGTTTATTTCATTTTAAGAACATTAACATTTGTTTGAAAATTATTTCTATTTCTATTTGTTTGTAAACATTAAGACTCTTTGCTTGAATCTGGACTAACTATTCTTTTTGAATGAGGTAAAGCAGCGGGATGATAGAAACCTTCCCCTTTAACTCTATTCCGGAACCTATGCTGACTGCTTGAACATTTTTAATGACTATGTTTCTTAAACTCTAATTAATTTAGCCATGCTTTGATCAAATTTTAATTTAGTAGGCCACTTTGGATGACTAATATTGTGAAAATCATTGTGCTTTTGAAGACAGCTTTTAATATGAATTTGAATTTGTCTTAATTAATTAGTGTTTGGTAGAAACAGTTTGGGATAAAAAGTCCATTTTTTTAATTGTGGGTGTATGACAATTATTTATTATTATTATAATAATAAAATAAACGATTGGATTATTCCGGAACAGTTCTTAATCTACGCCTTCTTCAAAACAAACATTCAGGTCATTTGTGTCTAAGAACATGACGTAATTGAGATTTTTGGGTTTGAATCCTGGCGTCCAAAGCGTTGGTCTTGAAGCAATTTTTCTGAATCCCACGCGGCCATTCAATGCATCCATGTGTCCCTCTTTTGATATGTGGGTTTTGCGAGTTCCTTTGGGTCGCTGTGTCGGAACCCTTCAAATCCCCACCTTCACTCCACACTCTTCCATTCCCAAACCTTCCATTAACCTTCTTTTTCGACGAATCCTCCAATGGGTTCTCAACATTCTCTGTTGTACTTTCAGGAATGCACTCCTTTTCAACTGGATTATCATTAATCTCTTCGCATTCCTCCTCCAACTTGGTCGCTTCCTTCAAATCCTCCAGCAGAGACAGAACAAGACTCTGTTTCTGCGGCTCGTACAAGAACCCCTCGATTTCTTTAATGTCCACCGACTTAGCAGCTTCATGGATCAACTCACCTCTCTTCACCTCCATCTCGTCCAACTTCTCGCTCCTCGACATCAGAAAATTTTCAAGGTCTGTGATGAGTTTGTTCATTTGAACGTACTTGTCTTCCAGAGCTACTTTTGCATCAATCAGCTTCATTTGAATTCTTTCTTCTCGCCAAACCTCCGCCATTTGCAACATGTTTCTCTCTTCCTCTACTTCTTCACACAGTTTCATTGATTCCCTTTTCAAAGCTTCCACCTTTGCCTTGTCTCCCACAATCTGCTTCGCCATCTCTGCACAGACCTCCTCTAATAACTCTCTGTTTCTCTTCTCTTTCTCGTATTCTTGCTTGTATTTCTTCGCGTTTTCTTTCGCTTCTCCCAGTTCTTTTTCCAAATTAGCATTCAGAACTTCGGTTCTGTGATTGGTTTCTTTTTCTTGGCATAATTCGTCAACCTTTACGTGCCTTCGATTCTTCCACATTGCCCTGTTTTCTTCGAGCTTCCCTTTTAAATACTCGATTTTCTTCTTCCATTTTCGCTGCTGGGATTCAAGCTTGCAGATGCGTGTTTGGGCCACCGCCAGCTCTTGTTTAACATCAGAAGCGGCCGAGGCCTTTGTGAACGGCTGCTCTCCTCCGCCACGGTGGCTGTGAAATCTACCCAACTCCGCCGTCTCAGCTGCCTCTGGGGCTTCAGGGTTCCAATATTCTGGTGCTGCTGCCTGTAAGAAGATTGGTTTCATTTGATTTGATTTTCTATCAAACCTTCTTTTAGATCGATTGTTTTGCTCTTCTCGTTATCTTCTGTTCATTGGAATTGAAATTTTAGTTTTTCTAATGCGTAGAAAGGAATATTTTCAATAATTTGTTATACAACGAGACCTTGGTCAAATTTCAAAGTCAGTGTAACGATTAAAAATAAACCAAAATTAAGAACTTTCCCAAATAAGATCAATATACATACAATACTTAAAAATGTAAATAAAACAAAAACAAAATCTGAATTAAAAAATTAAGTACCAAATAATCCTATCCTACTCTGTTTTCCACAGGTCTCCCATCTTCTTTTTCTGTTCTTCCAAAGTTTTTCATGTCTCTTCCCATTTTCTTACTTTTAATTTTGATTTCTTTAAATAATGGCGAGCTAATAATTTCATCAAGTAATTCATATGGGTTAGGTACATTTCCTCTGTCTATCTAAGCCTAAAGTTCTAAAGGAGGGTAATGATTAAACTAAATAATGGTAAAGTATTACAGACCGATTTTTATTTTTGTTTAGATTGGCGTGGTTTTAGCAGCGAATCATGTCAAAAAGATTGGGTAATAAAGATTGATTGAAACAGAAATGGAAATGGGAAAGGTACCTTAATCTTGATTGCTTTCTTCGAGGAATCCAAACAACCACGCCTCTCTAACCTCTGCTTTGCTTCCACTCCTCCGTCGTCTCTGCTCTGATCACGACGCCGATGCCTTATTTCTCCCTAATAATTTTCAGAAGGTATATTCATAAACAAACCCTTTTCGTTAATCAATAATTCCTCAAACTTTCCCACCAATCGGAAATTAAAAATCGAATTTTCTCTTCTGGGTCGTAATTATTGGTATTGATCACAGAGATCACAACATTTCCAGTTCGTTTTTTTTCACTTCTCCATTTACAACAGAACCGAATCTAGAAGTTACCTGAGACACTCTTCGGCCGCCATCGTTGCCGCTTGAAATTTCCTTATAATGGAGATGCCAAAGGCCGGCGGCGAGCTTTCTCGCCTGAAATTGAACTCGGCTGCGGCTTCGAGATCCATGCCGATCCTCCAACTTCCACCGCAACAGAGGAGTCATCGGAACCCCGAAGTTAGAACGGCGAGCGCCGGGACTGCGCAGAAACCTCGGCGTCCGGCGACGAGGCGGTGCCGGGGAGTTCTTGGTCCGAGTTAGATCCATTGTATAAAGGAAATTTTGATGGCCATCAGAAAGCTCCAATGCACAAAGTTTTTATTATCGCATAAACAGACGGAGACAGAGAAACAAAAGAGTTGGAGGGGATGGAAATGCTGTCGACAGGACAAATATCATTTCCAAAGTATTTATAATTTTTTCCATCTTGATATTCATTTGCTTAATTAAAAATCATATACATCAGTGGTGGTGACATCCATTTTTGATAATTTAATGGTAAACTATATTTTAAGTAAATGCACTTAGTACCCTCATTTTATATGAATTTGACATTAATATTTGGGCTGTCAGTGCAAATTAAAAGAATTAGTTATAAATTAAAGAACAATTTTCTTAAATATTCCCTTTTCCCTTTTCAATGAATCGTATGTGGTCTCCACCATTTTCAATGTATTAAACAGTTTAATGATAGCAAAAGATAAAACCACCACATATATTTGTCTATAACAATTTTCAATTCTATCCATAACTTTTTGAATCTTATACATTTTTTTTATATATATAAATAACTTAATTTAGTCTATAATGCTTTATTATATAGTTTTTGTAAGTAAATGTATTGTCTCTTCTAATGTATAAAAAAATACAATACATTTGAATCATTTTATATTTCATAAAATACATCACATATTTCTTTTGTGAATAAATTATATTAATAAAAACAATACAATCACTAGTGATGCGATTATTAAATTAATGATATTATAAATTTAATAAATACTTCAAAAGGTATTATTGTTTTTATTACCAATATAATATGTGACTTTGACTTTTGTAATTGTGCATTAAATTTTAGTTGGAAATTGGGGAAAATGGAGGGGAGAAGAAGAGCATTTTAATAATAAATAAAAGCTTGCTATTGCTATAGTAAGGAAGAGATTTAGTGTTACGATTGTTGAGCCACCAAATTCAACTTCATAGATGTGTCTTTGGTTAGGTTAAGAAGAGTTGGAAGACCCATTTCGTATCGTTTTCAGTCTCACGATTTTAAAACGCATTGACCTGAAATCTTTGTGTTTTGGCACTTGAAAATGATTGTTTGGGAAACTCACTTTTGGCTTGGCAAGAAAACTCATTTTTATTATCTATGATTCGTTGACTTAGATTTGATTACATGAATTTACTTGATCTTCAGTAACTCTGAGGAAAAAACTGCAACAACAAATTGAAAGGCTACAAAACAACACCAGCCAAGAACATCCCTATAAATTTTCTTTCATATAACAAAGCCCATGAAGTAAATTAAAGCTCTTAGGAAGAAACGAAGTGGTTTCCCCATTGATTTGAAGATCGGTGTACCTGTGTTGGGAAATTATGGTAAGTTTGGTTCAGGATGATAAGAGAGGAGGTAGATTGGCAAAGTTGGTTTCTTTTCTACCAAACAAAGACTTGCAGTTTCTGATCTGACAGATTATTTGCTTGTAAACACTAATCTTGACATTGCAAATACTTGCCATTGCACTCTTCTTCAGCTTCTTCAATCTTCTTCCAAATCTAACTCTTAGTCTTCGAATTCTAATTCTCAGATACGAAGCTTTGCCCATGGAATCCGCTCGTTCCAACACTTTGTTGATTATAAACTGTGCTCTTCGATGAATTATCTCTTCTGGGTCTTCTTTATCAACCTTGGAGTAACCATTAGAGCTCTTAACAAGAACAAAACTCATCTCTCAATATCCCTTCTGAACTTAAGAAGATTACAGAGAGATACCTGGGTGAAGAAGTAGGCAGTGAAGAGTTTCAATGCAGATATGCCATTTTATGAGTGAAGGAAGCTGTGTGTGGAAGTGGGAAACTGTGGAATTTGGGTGTGGGGTCAACGAAGAAGGTCATCTATGAGGCAACGGTGAAGCAAAGCTAGCACGGCATGTGCTTTAAATTATGGAAGACAGACTAAGCAGGACCTGAGCTGGCCTTCAGATCGCGCCTATGATTCTGCTAAATCTTAAACCACAAAAAATGACTCTTAAAATTTCATTTGATCATGCCTTCCTTTGTAGAATCAAAAAGTAAAACCGTTTTTACTCTGTTTTTGTCAGTTACACCAAGACCATGTTACCATAAACGATGCAATGGAATATTTTATGGATGTCTTAGAATGGACTATCAGATGGAACTCAAAAGTCAAAGTTTGCAGCATGGAACCATCCAATTGCAATATAAAACAGACCAAATTTCCACCGACATAAAAAAGTATGTTTGAAAAAAAGAATGAGAAGTCACAATAATTAATAAACTTATGGATGAGACTAGATGTCGCTGGATTTAGACTGTCCATTCTTAGGTATGACTTAAAAGAGTCAACAACTAGCTTATCACAAGAAGAATCCAATGCAGCAGACAGGACAAGCTTCCACCGGCAGGAACCCTGCCTGAAAGAGAGCTCAAGCAATCCAACCAAGTAACAACGGAAAAAACTGATGAAAAGAAGACTCCAAAATTACTTGTCCTATCAATTCAACTAAAATTTTTAATCTTCATGATCATGAGTTGATTTACCTTAGGAGTTAGCACCAAACACATCTGGAAGTTGATGGAACGCAAGAGTCTATGGCTTTCTCTTGGTCCAAGTTCATGTTCCTCTACACGATCTTGTGAGAGGTAGTGGTTCGTTTTCTTCTTCGTTTTTTTTTTGTAACCCAAAGAGTGTTGAGACCAACTTATGTCCATTTCAACCAACCACTCTCAACTAACAATCATCTAATTCTATAACATTTAGTTGCCAAGAAAATTCATAAAATTTCAAGTTCAACAAGGTAGGTGACTCTGGGGCCTTACCAACTCGAGGGAAACTCCGAATACAGGCCTAGACTCCCATGGCTCCGACCCAATTCAACGATCACTTGGCCCATTGAAGGTGGTTTACTCGGTTCATATCGTCGATATGGACCAATTGCATTTGTATCGAATTGGCCCAATGGGCTGAGCCCAAAATAAAGTTCTTCCTGTTTTTGTGGTAAATTGCAAATAACAATAAAATACTCTATTTACCAAGTGGGAAGTGGATGATTGGTTCGTGGGATACACTCGCGCCGTTATTCGCACCAAATCCGTCACCCTCTCCGTGAAACAGCAGGGCGGGAAATAGCTGTTCCGTTTTCTTTTGCCGTCGCTCTCCCAAACTTTCTCCGACTCTGCGGATCTCCTTCTCTGTCGGATTTTGCCGGGATTTTTCTCTCTCCAACCTCCGCTTGCTCTTTCCGGCGTCCAAATATTTGTTGTTCTGCGCCTTCGATTTTCATTTCACGTTTTTCTTTATCGGCAATCAACTTTCTGAGATTCGATGGCTCAAGCAGTTGAAGAATGGTACAAGCAAATGCCTATTATCACCCGCTCCTATCTCACAGCCGCTATAGTAACCACAATCGGCTGTTCCCTCGATGTGCGTACCTTGTTGCCCCTTCTCTATCTGTAGCTCTACTTTTCTTGCTCTCGTGGTCATTTAGGTTTAAATGTTTGTTTGTCTCTGGGCATTATCTCTTACATTATGGTTTAAAACCGGTGATTTTAAGAATGCCTCGGCTTTTTATTTATTTATTTATTTTTAATCTCCGTTTTGTTTTTGATTTGTTATGGAAACCATTAATGGTTTGTTTTGTCGATCACCGATATCTATTATAATGACATGAAGGATTTTGATTATTATTTTTGTCCTTGGGCTTCGATGCTGGTTTCCATGCCGATTATCGCTGATTTTAAGGATCTTTGGGAATTTATGTGTAAATTTGTTTCAGTTTTGGTGTCAGTTTTTGCTGGTATTTGGTGGTACAAAATGGGGGCACCCGGTTCTATTGTTTCAGCTATTGAAATAGCATGAACTTTGAAAATGTGGCTGATCCTTATAATCTTATTGGCCTTTGTTCACAATGATTTTGTTTCTTAATTTCAGAGTCTAATAGATGAGTATCACTTTACCTTACCATTGGGTTTATTTAATAATTTTTCATGCATTTGATTTCCTACAGATTATCTATCCGCATCATCTTTACTTGAATCCTATCCTCGTTGCTAAGAAGTATCAGTTCTGGCGCCTCATTACCAACTTCCTGTTCTTCCGCAAAATGGGTATTTATTTAGTACTTTTTCATGTACATATAATTTGTAACTGTAGAAAAATCCCGTTGCTTGGTTTTATGTGAAGATTTCCTAATATTTTTCATCTGGTGGTATTTTCTGATTGTAGTCATTGGTCATCCACATTTGGAATAAGAATTCATGTTTGCGGACGTGCAATGCACATGAGTGGCTTTTGTTGTCCTGTTCTTGTTTCTGGAGGGTTTTAGCTTTTATTAAGTTTTATTCTATATGCATACGAGACGTAATTGGCAAGTTGAAGCGTGCTGACCCGCATTGTACGAGTTTATTGCAAATATTCTTTTGATTCCATTTGGAAAATCTAAGAACAAGGGAGTTTTCTCAGTAGTTTTGTCTGTGGTAAAATGATTTGATTGACGTGCAACTTGTTTTGACAAGTGAACCTTTGAAGCCTTTGCTTCGTGCTTCAATATCATGATTTAGGCCCCTCCCTTCCCCCAGAACAATGAAGCTAACCATCTCTTGCCCTAAGTTTTTCTGTGTTGGTTACCACTTCTTATGCCTCGTTTAGTAGCTGAAGAGCTGGAGAATACTACATATTCTAACTTTCTTGACTCTTTCAGCCTTTTCAGTATGTAAATTTTTTTCTTTTGGATAAGATCGAAATTGACAACTATCTAACGACACTCTTGTGATGTGCCTGTTATTGCCAGATTTGGATTTTTTGTTTCACATGTTTTTTCTTGCCCGATACTGCAAACTTCTGGAAGAGAACTCTTTTAGGGGAAGAACAGCAGATTTCATTTATATGCTCTTATTTGGAGCCACGGTGCTTACTGGAATTGTTTTGGTTGGGGGAATGATACCCTACTTGTCCGAGTCAATTGCCGAAGTTGTATTCCTTAGCAACTCACTGACATTCATGATGGTTAGTCTCCATTTATGATGAGAGGTTTCGTTTCTTTACTTTCATGCAATTTATCTGTACTTCAACAAATCCTTTTCTATACAGGTTTATGTATGGAGCAAGCAAAACCCATTCATCCATATGAGCTTTTTAGGCCTCTTTACTTTTACGGCAGCTTACCTGCCATGGGTGAGTAAGTCTGGGTTTCTTTCCGTATTTTAATCTCTTTTAGCTGTCCTTATGTTAAAATTAGTCTTACTTGATCCTATCCAACGTAAGTTGAATTCTCCATTCAACAGTATAAATGTCATCTTAAACTTCACGATAGAATATTTACTTTGTTTAGTTATCTTTTTCCTGCACAGGTTCTTTTGGGATTCTCTGTACTTGTCGGGGCCAGTGCTTGGGTGGATCTTCTGGTATGCCGTCTTGACTTTAAACCATCTGTATTTGGAATATAATTCTTCACAGTTCATTTTATCTGATTCGACCCTTTTCTGGCATATGGTCTTGCTGGATTCTAACGAACTGCCTCTGCAAATGTTTAACCTTTAATCACCAAATTTTTTTGAAATGCAGTACTAACCGTTTCTCTCCAAGAGTTTTTTTTTTTTTTTTTCTTTTTCTTTTTTGAAGTTTAAAGTATGAATGAAACTTTTGAAACTTTTGAATAAAGTAGTGACAATTTCAATCCAAAACTCAAACTTAAAGGTATTTTTTTAGTTTTTGCTTAAAGATATTATTAAAACTTGGTGTGGTTTTTCGCCAACAGCCCAACAAAACCATTGAAACACTCATTTGTGATTAGTATGAGTTGCTTCAAGCTAATGTATCATTTTGAGTTATGGTGATGAACTATTTTGTGATACAGGGCATGGTTGCGGGCCACGCTTATTATTTTCTTGAAGATGTGTACCCACGAATGACAGGCCGACGACCATTGAAAACCCCATCCTTTATCAGGGCATTATTTGCTGAGGAAGCAGTTGTAGTGGCGCGACCCGTGGATTTGAGATTTGCAGCCCCTGCTGCGGAGGATATTCATCAAGATTAGTTATTACAACATTTGAGGAAGGTAGTGAGCTGGAGTTTTCCCATCTTTTGGACATTTATCCACTCTAGAAAGGAGCAACCCCTGATGATAAGGAATGTCATTTTCATCTGTAACATAGTGCCAAATGTATTCGCCCTGGAATTTCTTGATTCAAATTGTTACGATTGAAGAAGATAAATATAACCTATTCCATGGCCAAGCTTGTACTCGGTGTGCTCTTACTCGAACACAAGCATATTGAATTGTCAAATTAGTTGTGATCTGATTACTTCTTGGAATACAAATGACTTATTAATTGACCTAATAATAAGGCATCCGCATAGCCAGAAAAAGCTTAAGAATAAGATTGCCAAGTAAAATAACTAGAACCGTAATTTGAGCGATTAAAATTGGTTGGATTCCAAGCAAAAAAGTAATATAACGCTTATTTCTTTTTGCAGTGAAAACGTTGCAAACCTTGAAAGGAAATACAAACAGAGCAAGGGAAAGCAATTCCACAAAAAGCAAACAAAACCCATTTGAATTTGGAGGCTGAAATCAGAATCAAATGGGAAAGTGGGTGATATCGTCTTTGAGAATCCTGTAACCAAAACCAGGAATCCCATTAAACCGATTGCTTTTTGACAATTCGACAGCAGAGCAAATGTTGGGGAGAATCCCATTGTTGGTTC